AGTCATTTATTCTGTCCTTACGTACAGATGTCAAGAAAAAACTTTGTTAAATTGCATTCGATAGCGGTCAAAACGGATACTTACGTTAAAATATGACAACCACAAATTTTCGCGATTACAATAATTCCTTTATTTCGTACAAGGAAGTAAAGACATACGCTAAAATGTGACTTGCATGACGGCTACAGTAACTAGATGAGAAAACATCAGCCTTAGACGTCACGTGCAAAATTTTACTAGATCTGAAATATTCGTACTGCCTCTTACTAAATCAATACAATGAGTTTCCTCTCGTGATTACGGAAATGAACACAAAACAATACAGTGAAACAAATTTATTAATGAATTCAATTATGCAGTACAAAATAACTGCAATTTGCACTTTGAAATGGATATAATTACAACTCAAAGGGAAAAGTTTATTACATATGCATTAAATTCTTTTGTGGTTTCAGGGAAATTTCAAGGTTTACTGAAGGTCTGTCTTTACCAAATAAGATTTATTTCCTAAATTCAATAAACACTAGAGCTATTCACAGAAATTAAATTTTCTAATCTGCCTAGCAGGACTGGTATTCGGTGTGAACCAAACTGTGGAGCTTTGCGAACACCAATTGATGCCTAAATTCCTCTTAATATTGTAGAATTCGAAAGTTTTTATTCTTTTAATAATTTATATATCTGAAGCTTCATGAAGAAGGGAATGTTACAGAAACAGGAAAAGGTTTACATAAGGTCGTTCGCATTTTGTGGAAACGTTTTTCTATTTAAATTTTCTAGTTAGCATTTTGAGATAAATATTTGACATTTTCAATAAAACCGTCTGCTACTGTTTAGCTTTTACTGGAATGCAGAATAAAAGGTTTATTTTGGAAAAGGTTCATAAAACTGATAGATTACTCGAAGGTTACGAAGTTGTTCTATTCCAGGAAAAGTATTCGTATCAACACATTGTAAAGCGATGTAAAATTTGATGTTATTGCATTTAAAAATAAAGTTGATGAGGATATTACATGACTTGACCTATTAAATTATATACATTTTTTGCTAAACTTCAGTTAAAACTTATTTCCTCGAATTTTGTTAGAGATACATTTCTCATTAAATTAATTCAGTTCTCCTTTCGCGTCAAGGCAAAAATGCATAAAATCTCAAAACATCTTCATTAACAATTGCAAAATACAGGAAACCTAAAACACACAATACCTGTTAAAAGCATTTAAGAAACAATTTTTACGATTAAAATTAAAGTTTCTATGCCAAAATAAGCAATTCGGCCAATGGGTTTTGTGCATAAAATTGAAAGTTATCTTTTCGTCCCACTGGGCAGAAAGACACTGAAGTGGCACACCAATTGTCTTAATTCACTCTTCTACTAAGACTTTCAAATGTAAACAAATGGCACCCTCACTAAACACGACGTCATTTAAACTTTTAAACTGCTGATAATTCTACAATTACTGAATACGTATTAATTGAAAGCACAAAAACCTTAACCGGAACATAAGAGCAACAAAATTCAACCAGTTTTAAATCAAAAATGTACAATATTTAAACAAAGAATGAAAATATTGAACTCACTCAGCCGAGTAACAGGGCGGGAATATATATATATATATATATATATATGTAAAATATAAAAAAATACGATGGCTTTGCTCTTGCCAACCGCAACCTTTAATTAAGTTTCTGCAATTCAGGATCTTTCCCTAAACAGTACCTCTAGACATTCGCACTATTACATACTCCTCTATAAAGCTGCGTCATAATTTCACTTTTCTAGAAGCTACTCTGTAATACCTTTCATATAAATCTGCGTCTAAGTTCTCCTACACAGATCCTCTCTTCGTTCTCTAACCCATAGTTTTTTTGTGAGAATATAGTATTACTATTAAATACTGACTACATAATATGCTGAACAGTGAAATTTGTGTTGCCAATATTTTTATAATTTATTCCGCTTTGTGACTACATTTTTCGTCATGTTTCCGCCATACCTACATGCGAATTTAATCGCGGATAAAAAGATAAGGAAAAGTAGTAGATAATATCCTAAAAATATTATTGTGTCCATGGGTGTAGTCAAAAGGAGAGGAAGCTGTGATCATTTGCAATAAATAGTGTCTCACACTGAGTATGTTTGCTAAGGCTGAATAGATGTGATGATGGGGGGGGGAAAGGTTAGTGTTGAGATGCTTCGTATTCATGGTATTGAACATGGAATACAAGGCAATATGTATGCTTTCATCCTGAGACACACAGCAAAAGACCCATAACATCAGACAAAAATATATATTACTTTAACTAAAATAACTAAAGACAATAAACATAGATCGGTGGTATTTATTAATATATTTATCATAATTTATTACAAGTTTATTTATTGTCAGTTTGCTATCATACAATGTAAGCTCGATTTTCCGACCAGCGTGTAGAAAGACTTTGCGAGTGCAAAACAAAGCATCTGTCTACTTTGTCTGTCTATCCATCCTTACAGATTCTTTGGTCTATCTGTCTCTGTTTAAATATATTAGCTGCAACACAAAATGGAGGTAGTGGAGTTCGTGTACTGATGATTACGTTCTAGTTAAATGACTTTCCTATTCTTTCTTGTGATGTTAATATGTCCAATGTGGATTTAGCTAATGGGGAAAGAGAAAGTGAATCTAGTTCTGAAAATGTTGACGGCGTTCCGCGAGAAGAATTAGTAGATCCTCGCGTCCAGGTTAGTGTTCGCTACTAAAATATATATATATATATATACCTCTCTTAAATATTGTCTCTGAGCAGGGATGTTCTTTTTTTTTCGTGGCTAAATGTTATCCTAACTTTTTCGATTTCGCTGTGATTAAAGTTTGGTGAATTAAACTCATTGATTAAGCTAGCTCTACATACGAAAGTTTTGGATTTGCATTATAAATATATAATGGCAGGACGAGTGAGGCGGCTTCCGGAGTGTTTAGTTTATATCTAATGAAATTACTGCTCTTTATGTACGTATAATTCGGAATTTGTGTTATTGTAAATGTTATCATCCGTCTAAAATATAACTACTGTTGCATGTAGGCAGTCATATTAAGAAATAGCTGGAAATCAAAATGTTTCATTTCCATCAAGAGCTTGATAGTTCCAGATAAAAGTTGAAGACTGCTTATTGAAGACTGTCTTAAAATTTGATTCGGAGAGTAAGTAAAGAGTAAAGGTACTTCGAAGAATAAAGAAATGCAATCAAATAAATAGCGGGAATAAAATATTTTAAAATATTGTTAGGAACATGTGTAAATTTTGATTAGCACATATGCTATTTCCTTTTATTTAACTTACTCTGTCTATGGATTCTTCATACGGCAAAAATTATGTGACCATGACCATTAACTAATTCAGTTGAGGATTTTTTTACTGTTTTCTAAATGTTTAAATACTTTTCCATTCAAATTTATATCAGTCTCAGAAGATTCACAAGTTTTACTTTCCAAAGAAAGAGCTTTCTATTGCTTTCTAATTGCTAATTCAATTTGCTTTCTAATTGTTGCTGATAGAAAAATTTTATGTTGACTGATTTTCCTTTTTCTTAGTTCAAAAACGGGTTGATCTTTACATTATGGTAACTTGGCGTTTTTTTGGCGAAAATTTGGCGACCAACTCTCCTACAGGAACACTCTATTTTTTTTTTCCCGCCGCCATTTTGTCTTCACGAAGTAAAGACATGTTTCTTTTCTTTTTATCTACTGAACACTTTTTAAAACAATCTTACTAGCCGAATTACACTTATGCTAAAAATTTTATCTAACAAAACTGCTTAATCATGACAAATATTCACTGCAAAATTGGGAAAAGTGCACAATACCATACTCCTTACGCGTTTTTCAAAATAACACATACACATAAACCATGTACACGTCGACTTATTTTTACTTAAAAAAATCCAGAATTACACAAAAATGGCATTGCACACTCTTCACTATATCCATGTACACTGCTTTTTTCTCATAAATTAGAAAAATTTCACGAAAATACATGACAATTTCTCAATCTTTAAACCCGGTAAAAAGAACATATATGAAATTACCTTATCGCGAAAAGCATATACCCTTTCCAAATATAAACATTTCCACGTATAAAATAAATAAATATCTAAAAACTTTTACCTCTAAATTATCTATTATATTTTAAACGTCACCAACGAATTCATACCGCAAACATTACAAATACTTAGTGTCAAATATTTAAATTATTTCCATGCACGTTTACTTCAGCTAAAACGTATACCAAATTCCTAGAAACATAAAATTCACAAAATAACTATCATTTAATTAAAATATCACTAAACCATGTACACGTCGACTTATTTATACTTAAAAAAAATCCCAGAATTGCACAAAAATGGCATTGCGCACACTCATCACTATATCCATGTACACTGCTTTTTTCTCATAAATTAAAAAAATTTCACGAAAATGCATGAAAATACTCAACGTATACTACTCAAATATATTCCAACAAAATCACGATCATTAAATTAAAATATAATTAAATTAAGAAACACTACTTAAAATATAAATAAGCACATACATTAAATTAATAAAAATTAGATTACAATCCTAATTACTTTAAACTAAAACATTGCTAATAACAATTTTCAAATAATACCATTTTAATTTATTTACTCCTTACATTTAGAACAATGCATAAAAATAATATCCTCAAATGATTAAAAATACTAACTTACCTAATCTTCTTTAGAATCTTCATTACGTCCCTGCAGTACTACTGCTAATTTTTAAATCCTAAATCCAGTAGTCAGCTAGAAGTCTATTCACAAATAATAAGAAATTAATAAAATTTCACCTATACTCAAACTACTTTCAGCAAACTAAGTACCCTTCCTTACACTCCTTTTCACAAAATTTCCATTTTCACCATATTTCTTGCACCGCCATTTAAACTTGTAATATCCTTCCTTTCACACAATCTCAACTTATTATTATTATCAGATAAACGCATTAAAAATTTAGAATTCACTTTACAAAGCGCCATGCAATCCAAAAATTAATCAACACTATTTCACACAACACACAATGAAGCTTTTCCAAATTAACCCCTTTTCTGATTAAAGAACTATAATTCGTCATTAATGTCACGTTTCACACAACACAGAATATACTAAATACGAAATTCCAGATTTCCCCCCTTTTCCGATTAAACAACTGTAATTCGTCCATTAATGTCACATGACATATCTCATGATCTCTCATTTCCCTCACACAAAATAATGCGTAATCGGAACTGCGTGCTTCTCACATTATTACCAAAGTCCTAGGTAGTAACCTTTATCGCCTCCAAAATGTCGCCAAACTACCAGTTACCATATTCTAAAGATCAGCCCAAAAAGGACATTAGTCATGAATTAGCCTCGAAACGGCAATTTGCATTAAATCGTTGACGTATCACTTTTCAAATTAATGCCACCAAATATTGTTGCCCTGTATTATATTTAAAGAAATTAAATAATGAAGAATCTGCATGAAAACAAGCGTGTTTCTTGCATTGTAAAACAACATCGATATCTAGAGCCATCAAATTTTGAATAACATAGACCTCCATTTGACCTGGAAGTCAGAATTTGTTTTATTATCTATTTCATATTTTCAGGGTTTGTATGGTCCTTAAAAGACCTTAGGTTTTCAAATCGATTTTTGGGCCTTAATTTTGGCCAAAATCAGCAGAAGGTCCTTAATTTTAATCATCTGAAATTTTTGTCTGTTTTTACGACTACCATTTTGAATGTGAATTAAGATTTTGGAAGAATATTTTTAGCAATTCACCAACAAATATGGTTATCTTTTGACTGGGTTAATGGGTTATAATTTGTCCCTATTTCTAATATAAATGGGTTTCATAGTGAAAGAAGTGAGATGCAAGCATTTCGAAATTATTTCATTTTTTCTAATGAAGAGCTGTTAAGCAACTTTTTGCTTTAGGGATGCAAATTTTTTTACTAAACGGGTCTAAATATAATATAGTGACTCATAAATGTCATGATGTCAGTTTCTATTGAAAATTTTTAACCTGGGAGCGTGCATGCTCCTTTGAGTTACGCGAACATGCGCCCTGGGTTCAAAAGACCTGGCTCGTGTTTTTTGAAGAAAAATGTGTAAGGTAAAAGTGTTACATTTATACCAAAATATTATGATCAAACTTAAAAAATATGCAAATTATAGAAATTAAAATTTTAATCTTAATTTTTGTAATATTTTTATGAAATAAATTTTTTTAAAGGAATAGAAAAACATATTATATTAATAAAGAATTTATTAGGTATTCATTATATCTTTAACGGTTTGACCCGTATTTTCTCATTCTTTTATGCAGTTCTCTTGATGTTTCATTATGTATTATTGTTAGTTTAAATGTACCCTCGAAAACCGATCGTCCCGTGTTTTTGTAATAGCGAAAAGATATGGCAGAAACGACTAGCCTGTATTTTTGTACGCCTTCCAACCTCCATTGCCTAAGGGGACAAGGGTCCACGCACACCTGACGACAATGGGTAATGGCTGTCATTAGCATGGGGAGAAGTCTTGATGTTTTGAGATAAAGGCCTTACACTGACTCTAAGGAAACAAATTTATTACCAGTTACAAAGTGAATGTATATATATATATAAGGAATTAAGAATTTCCATTTTAGAACAATTATTGAATAAAATAAACAAGTTTTTACAAATAATCTTTTATTTATGACTCATAAAATTATTAATGAATTAAAATGAGAAAAATAATGTGTTATATAATTTACTGGGAACACGTGATTAAATAATTCTCTTTAAAAAAAAATTCTACAAATTTAGAAAAAAGTGCGGCTCTCTTGATAAATTTATAAATCTCATACTTTTGACAATGCGATTCGATTATTTGATTTCGTTATTTAAGAATCTATTATTGTTACAAAACTACTGTACAGGAATTTTTCAAAAGGGCTCGTATTCTCATTAATCTGTACGACAAATTATTTTTCTCCTTTTGGTTCAGTCTTTTACTTTCTATAAAGTTTTAAAAATTTGCCCAAAATCAGAAATTATATTAATTTTATGCAAATTTTATTTTAAAAGCTATTTTAGGCTCTGTAAAATGATGCAAACTTAAAATCTGTGAGATTTTGTTTATTTTTTAAATGGAAATATGTGCAAAAAATTTTTTCAACATTAAATTTTAAGACTTCTAAATCGAATTTTATAAAACTTGGTTTACCACGTCATATTTTCATCTGTAAACGGTGTGAATACAAAATTTGAACTCGGTAGCTTATCGAGAAATAGTCTAAATATCGATGACGAGCTTCTGATTATAGCAACAAACACTGTGATTTGAAATGCATACAATTTTTTAAACAATCTTGCCGACTCTTAAATATTATATTTTTAAACATTTTGGAAAGTTTGGTAAATGTTGATATCAGTTAACCGTCATTTTTATAACATTCTTGGTATTATAAAGCATGTATGTGACATTCATACGCTATTCCCGACAGTTCTGTTCATTTATCAAAGTGGCTGCTTTTGCGACAAACACAATTATATATTGTGATGCTCATTCTATATGCTGCACTATCTATGATACTCATTATCGATATTTAATTATGTTCTATATCTATACAGAACACTCGAGTTCAGTTAATATTGTAGAGGGCTCTTCGAAAGTCAGTAATGCTCTCCCTAAGATTTTC